ACTAAACTATTACGCTATTGGAATCACGAAAACGCTAAATCTCTCAATATACGATGTATTTTCATATGTAATCTTATAACTACTTAATAAGGTTAGATAGCGGAAATCTGATCGGCTCTGTAAATATCTAAATTCTTGAGTAATGCAGAGTCATTGAAATTAAAAAGGTAAACAGTCTCCTGACCTTCGTTGACATGGATGAACTTTCTCCAAGCCGGGATACAGAAAGTATCTCTATTCTCCCATTTAATTACAGTTTCCACATCGTTGTCATCAGTAATGATAGTACGACCTTTGCCTTCGTATACATGGTATATGAAGGAACTGCTCTCTAGACGATCAGGAGAAGACTTGCCTCCAACAATCTTTTCTGCTTGACCTGCGATAATCGAAGACAAGGGCTTTCCTTCTTCAGTTTGAGATTGATAGTTGTAAATAGCATAATCGCCACTTACACTGTCAAAGTACTTCTGAACATCACTCCATGGGTACTTGGTTGTAGACTTTTTAACCTCAATACTTGGGTAACGGTCTTGATCGTAATGCTCGGTGAAGCATACGGGGATATTATTTAACATTGGCAAATCAAGTCCGTCAAGCCAAACCATTGCACCTTCACCATCTTTACCATGGTCGTGCCACTGCCAGCGTGGAGTAAGAATTACGTCCCCCTTCTCCATATATATCTTTTCACCCTCAACGGCTGTCCAGCCACCAGTACCTTCAATGATAAATCTCAAGGCAAAAGGGGTGTGTCTATGGGCTGGAGCCACTTCTCCAGAATTAATATATTGAAGAGCAGCATACAAAGTGTCAGTAGTTTGTGGGCGCTTTAATGCTGGGTTGATCAACATAAAGGCTCTTCTTTCTGATTCTTCTTGCGGAACAATGCGACCAGCTTCATCAAGAAGAGGTCTAAGTTTCTTATACTTCCAAAGATGTGGAACAGCTTTTGGTTGAGGAACAGCGGGAGATACTTTGGACAAGACAGTCCACAAAGGCTCAGCATGCTCTGGGTGTAATTCTTTTAATAAATTGTTTAAAACAGCATTATCAGACTGTGCAGAAGGTGACATTTTTAATATAGTATAATTTGATTGTTAATATTAAATTATTTGATTATTTAAACCGTCACATTAGTTAGAAATTATGTCTTTATATATCATTGCCTCTCCCTCCGATTTAGAATCAGGATATTTAGCATGCAGCAATCTAAGCTACTAGGATGTTGCGGAAAGTTGAACCGCTACCAATGAAAAAAGCGGGCACCTATCGTAACTGTTCAAACCAACTCCGAAAAGTTGAGAGAGGGGTCGTTTAGGCGACTCATTTTTATTTATATGTGCATATATAACTGGGGTAAACGCATGGCTTCTCCGATAAGTCGCAAGCTAACTAAAGACAATAAGAAGCTGAATTTGTGAGACCACCCACAAAATATTTTTAGGATGCCTGCATAAAATTTTATACTAGATAATTGTATTAGATTTTGTATAAAGATTTATGGATAAAACCAATAGAATATTTTTGTCTGAAGATGACCATTAAAATATCCAGCAGTATAATTGTTACCATGATTGAGATATGCTGGTCCTTAGAAGCACGCATAGGACAACATTTTAAATTTTATACTTCCACTTTTCTTCACAGTTTCGCAGTGATGTAGCGCGTTCTGTTAAATTCGGATTCCACTGAGAAGAAATTCTTTTTTCATACAATAGTTGTAGTTCAATAACAGTTTCACGATTTTTGCGTTTTATCTCCATCTTTGCGCTATATTAATGGTCTACTCCCCAAGAGCAAGTTACCATTGCATTTGGAGATTTAGTCTCACATTTTTTCTATGTTTTAATATTTTGAATAACTAAACAATTTGCATGATAAGGAATAAATCATCTGAGCTCTGTCTAGCTATAATAGTAGCTTGTCTACACAGAAATCCATATTACATACAGCTCAACGCTTGATAACCGTAACATGATTATGTTTCTATACACACAGCGGTCCTATCTGTGCTCAATCCAACGATCTTCACAAGTTATATGCATACGCATGTCTGAAGAGAACACAACTATATCTATAAGTACAGCTAGTAGTAAACCTCAAGCAGCTCCCATATATATAACCATTACGGCAACTGTTCCTGCTTAACATTCCGAGGTATCGTCATAGTTTTCAAGCAGAATGTTCCTCTTGCTGCCTCCGTATAGCATCAGACTATTTATGATTAAAGGCTCTAATTTGATAATAATGCTTTTCGTAAATAAGATAACACCTTTACAATTCATACGTTATTTCTTATAGTAATCAAAGTTTGTGGATGATCGATAAATTGAGTTTATGTATTATTTCCGATAATCAGTGCATGAATTCATAGAGCACTTTGACAATTTTATGGCAAGAAGAATTCTATATAATTACTTCGTACACGAAGAATAGTTTTTGTAATTATTATTCTTCACACTACGAATAGCAAAGTTCTTGCATCTTTTACAATTAATCGTTCGTTGACATAAACTGAAACCTGGGTGGATTAATTAAACAGAATCATATGGGACGCACAAGTATAGTTTTCTAATATATTGAACGAAAAGAAAATCCTGTTTTTTTATTTAAAGGAAGACAAATTTCATATATATCTTGTATAGCATTAATTTTGAATTCTCTTTATTTGATTAAATGTTACCCTTCGTTCGCACTTATCTAATCGCTAACATTTATTCCAACAATTTTACCGCGGTTTCGGTGGTATTTACACCGACAAAATAGCAAATGTCATGAATATCATTTTTTTGTTTTTAATACACTGCAAGCGTTGCTCAAGTAGAAAATATGTCCGCATCCAAGTTGAAACTTTATTTCTGTCCTACTCCTAATCGGTTAAAGGTTTCAATACTTTTGAATTATTGGGTCTTGAGTATGAATCACAGTTTGTTGATATTAGCAAGAATGAACAAAAAGAAGATTGGTTCCTCAAATTAAACCCTAATGAAAGAACTCCAACTTTGGTTGACAATATTACTGGAGTTACAATTAGTGAATCAGGTGCAATTTTGCAATACCTTGTAGATACTTATGACAAGGATTACAGGTTTTCATATGAAGCTGGGTCATAAACTATTACTTGCAGCTAGAAACTTTGTATTTTCAAATGGCAGGTGTCGAGCCAATGCAGGGATAAGCTAATCATTTCTGCATTTACGCTACTGAAAAAAGTTGATTACGGTATCAATAGATATATTGCTGAGACAAAGAGATTGTATTCCGTAGTTGAAGAGTACTTGGGCAAAAACGAAAATAACGGTCCCTATTTAGTTGGAAATCATTATTGCATTTCTGACATTGCAATTTTTGGTTGGGCTAGACGCTTGCATGCCATTGATATTGATATTAGGCAGTGGCCGTTGATAAACAAATGGTTTGAAACTCTAGATAGGATTCCTGAAGTTCAAAAGGGAATTACAGTTTTTAAATCATAGAGACCTTTCACAACTATATATATATATATATATATGTCTTTCAAGTTGTTTCAAGTTTTGTTGTAAAAGATCGAATATATATTGATATCCTTGTTTCTTAGAAAGAAGGAGTGAGGACATAGGAACTAATTATAAGTGTAAAATTAGCTAGTTATCTAAAGTAATATATTTGTGAACAAAGCAAAGAAGTTCTGTGACACATAGAACATATAACGGGTAACCATTTCCTCATATATTTACAGTAATTGCTTTGTACGCTTTATCAGCTTGATCAAGTGATAAGGCTCAGCCCAACAATGTGCCATGATCGTCTTATGCTCAATACTGAAGAGCAATTAATAGCTACTTAAGAGATAATATCTGATCAATTATAACTCATTGAACTATTCGTTATCCAATGGAATTGATGTTGAATAATATTATTTTGATTAGTATCCTACAATTCTTGAAACATGTCTGCCACATCCGCAAATGTCGTTTCATTAATTTTGGCTTTAATACTACTACCAGTGGCTGTACCTATTGAAACAGTATGCGCATTGTAGTTTCTTATTAATCTTGACAAAATTTAAGATAAGAAATTAATTTGGGCCTTTGTTGTGAATATAATCTAATATTAACATTGCTCTGAGAAACAAAAATGTAAATTATACGGAGAAATGTTAACGGAACAGCTAAATCAGTTATAGAATACGCTGTAAAAATTTTCAAATTGAGAGTATTACACTTTTTTCCAACATTGAATTTCCGGTATCAAGTAAATATCACTACTACATCTATCCGTCGTTCCCTTGCTGAACAATCCACGCAACCAATTTATAGGACTTCTAGGGCTTGCATTGTGTGATTTAGCACACTTGTACAATTTTACGAATCGACAATATCAATATATGAAGAAGGAACACATATCTTTTTAGTGTGCGCTTTAGTTTTTTTGTCCCATGAGGCTCTATTATTAATGCATGGCTTGAAAATCATTTGATCACAGTTAGCCTGAGATTAATATATAGAGACGGAATTGTTAGCTTCAGTTCTCCTGCAAGGTTCACTCCAATGGAAAGTTGTTTTAGTCTAAAATGGAATTGAATATTATCTCAGCCATCGCAATATCTGATAGGAAGAGTAGCATTACCCATCTCCCCCTTCCCCAAAAGCCATATGATCTATAGATATGCGAGAGAAACATTAATCATAATTCAACTTCATATCATAGTAGAAATCATTTAATTTTATACTAAGCAAGGATGAACTATACTAGGGACGATGGCTCCCTGGATTTAAGTAAAGATAATATCATACATAATTTAAGACGAGACCTAGTACCTTATTTGATATTTCATTTTCGAAAACGGTCAAGAAAGTATGGCAGATTCTAAACCCTATTCCTGGATTGAAAGAAACGTCTTCGAGTAATAGGAACTACTATTTTTTCGGCTGGATTGCATGGATGACAGATGTGATCGATTTTTTCTAACTATACTTCCAAAACAACAATTAAGCATCTCTTTCATACCTTCAACCATTCTTTACAACATTTACAATATTACTTCCAAATTTATCCATATTCTCTTTCTAGTCATATCACATCTCATATCGCACTCACATCGCATTCTCATTTCGCAGCATCAAAATCAATTCGTTGCGAGCGATGGCCATTCTGGGTCCTATATTTTAGGACTAAGCTCGAAGCTCGTACTCAAATCTCGCAGCGGCACCCGATCCCGAGAACTATGGGGCATTCGCAACCCCAAATATCAAAAACATGAAATTGAAATTTTGGCTTTAGTAAATTATCTTTGCATGTGTCAAAATAACATTATATTCAGATACGCATCACTTATTATACTTAGATATTTCGAATATTGACCAAATGGCGAAGTTTCACAACGATTACGTTAATTTTACAAAATTTAGTACTACAATTTTTCACGCATCAGGTACAGTGACTTCCATTAATATATTGTTTGTCTATAACCTGTAGTCAGATTTTGGTTTATAATTCATGCCAGTAATCTTATGAATTCCGAAATTGGAAAATTTAGGAACTATTTCTTATCAGATTCATATCTTGCATCCATTTTTAAGGCGATCAAAGTTGTACACTGTAAACGTTATGATCAATTATTACATAATCAACATGACATATGACTTTTCTTGTTTTGCATTGGAGAAGGCAGTACATCCATTCAGCCACAAAATATTCCAATTCTTGATGTATTTTGTAGTTGATAGTTTTGGAAAACGGGCCGTGATGTCGACGATGGTTTTCGCATCTATTGTCTAGCAAAAAGAACTGTATAGACTGCAGTTTTTGTTATGAGAAAAGTCAGCAATGCTTTCGCATCTATTGTCTACCAAAAAAAAACTATGAAAACGCTGTAGAAGACAGCAGTATTTTGTTATGTGAGAAACTTTTTCTGCGAGTGGTATCAGTACATACCCGTGTAGCTATTACAAAAAAAGAAAATAATCGGCAAAACCAATTAAGAAGAAAACAAATCTGCAAATGCATTGGTAAATGAAGATATTTTTAAATAGACATACAAAAACCGACTATTTTTCAAATACATGCATAATACCGCATATTTTTATTCTACTCCCATTGGTTATCTGTTAAAATCTCTCAGAAATTAGACTGCTTCAATAGAATAGGTTAAAAAGTTTCTTCCTCATTAATTAATACATATTCGTATTCAGTTTTTATTTTTGCATACTATATAAATGTAGCTTGTTATCACATCAACGTCCAAATTTTGAGAAACATCAATGAATAATAAAATGGGGGGTTTATCTAAATTTTTCAAAAAATTGTCGGATCAAGACCAGGATCAAGACCTCATTACAAAGGTTGTTAAAATTGACGATAACTATGAAAAGGAAAAGTGTCCCTGAATGATGAAGAAAATCATTCGGATGAAGTTTTTATGGACCAATTTCCTGGTGTCCAAAAGGCTGAAGCTGCCGTTCTAGTGTGGAGTAGGCCTGCTCTTTACTCGACCTATGCCTGGATTTGGATCTGTTTCTTCATGCTTGCTCTTCATTCTTCTATTAGTGGTACCGTGATGAGATACGCTTATGGTGACCTTGGAAATGCTCCTCAAGTCAGTACCGCCGGTATGTTGTCGAGTATCATTGGTGGTGTCCTTAAATTACCATGTGCTAAAATATTGAGCATTTGGGGTCGTACCGTGGGTTTTTACTTTTTGTTGGTGTTTATGTGCTTGGAATCGTCATTCTTGCAGCTTGTAACAATCCAGGCAGTTACGCTGCTGGATATGTTTTGTATTGAATTTGGTTATACTCAAATTTATATGATCATGGATGTATTTATTGCAGATACTTCTGGGCTTCGTAATCGTGCTTTTGCATTTGCATTTGCTAGTACACCCTTTATCTGCACAGCATTTACAGGACCTCTTGCGGGTCAATCTTTCCTTGATCATTCTACCTGGAGATGGGGTTATGGTGTCTTTGCCATAGTAATGCCTTTCGTTCTTGTTCCACTCGCTTTGGTTTTCAAATTTTACGAGAAAAAGGCTATCGAATTGGGGGTTGTGAAGAAGGAAAAAAGGGGAAGAACTGCCATGCAAACTTTTTTTCACTATTTTCATGAGTTTGATATTGTAGGTTGTTTTTTATTGATGGCTGCATTCGTTATTTTCTTGCTTCCATTTACCTTAGCATCTTATGGAAGATCGCAGTACAGTTCTGTTACATTTATTGCTATGGTTATCGTTGGTTTCTATATTTCCCCAGTATTCTTTCCATGGGAAAGATTTGGTGCTCGTAAGCATTTTATTCGTTGGGAACTTTTAAGTGATCGTACTGTTTTAGGAGCATGTTGTCTTTCTGCGATTTCGTTTCTTAGTTTCTACTGCTGGGATCTCTATTTTTTCCAGTTTGTGAGTGTTGTCTACGACTTGAACGAATCCATGGCTGGTTATATGCTTCAAATTCATAATATTGGGTCTTGTTTCTGGGGTGTCGTATTCGGTGTATGGGTTCGCTATGTCAAACATTTTAAATATACTTGTCTCTTCTTTGGTCTCCCTCTCATGATTCTTGGAGCTGGTCTTATGTTTCACTTTCGTGGGCAAGATGAAAACATCGGCTATATTGTTATGTGTCAAATCTTCGTTGCCTTCGGTGGTGGTGCTTTGGTCATAGGTGAATATATGGCTATTATGTGTGTTGCAGACATAGAAGGTGTACCAATGATGCTTGCTCTCATTGGGCTTTTCTAAAGTATTGGTGGAGCTATTGGACAAGCCGTTTCTGCAGCCATCTACACAAACTCTTTTCAACAAAGGCTTTATGATAATTTACCCAATAATATGAAGGCTAGCGCTACAGAAATTTATATGCAAGGTTATATTTTGCAACAAACATTTCCTATGGGGTCTGATGTCAGAGATGCCATCAATAACGCATGGGGATACAGTCAGAGGAACGGCTGCATTGCCACTACAGTTATATTTGCTTTGGCTATTCCATCTATCGCAGTTTGGAGAAACTACAATGCGGACAAGAAAAAAACAAAGGATTAGTTATTTAATGGTAGTATTAACTGTGACTGCTGCATTTATGTTTTCCTTTTTATTTGACTGGATGACGGCTTATGATTTCCCACGAAATCTAGTTTTATGACAGAACTCCAATAGGATACTGCAACATTATACACAAGATGTGTATCTCGAAAAATTATACACGAAACCTCACAACTTTTAAGGATATGTAAACATGTTAATGAACCACCACAACTCAAAGTCAAATCTTATTCCATTCTCAATGATGCATTAGCCCTGATTCTGAAAAATAGTAGAAATATAATTGCGGTATATGAGAATCTCACATGAAAAAAGATAATCTGATTACGCATTCACCTAGATTTTCAGTTTTTCATCTAAATCTAACTTAATCTTAATATTGCTGTATAGGCAGCAAGCGATGACTAGGTGTTGAGAAACTAATTCTAAAGATAAATTAAATAATAAATTCATTTGATATACCCAAGTTTTGAACTATTCATTAAAAATGCAAGGCATATATTTTAAACGACCTGATAACCATCCAGGTTAAAGACGATTATTATACCATTCGTACCAATACCCATTACTTCGTAGATTTACAAGAGATAGGATATCATATCATCCAATTACACTCAGGAATAGAGCATGTATGTATGAGAAAATGCATAGCTTTTTCAATTTGGTTTATGTCATCTAAAACCGGTTGCCTAATTTTCGAATAAAAAAAAACTATCAGATAAAAGTTAAAAAGTTAAACCCAGACTTATGAAGAACATCAATGTGGAGTAAGGGGCTTATTGAGCAAGAGTATGTTTATATGAGAATCAGCTACAAGAAAATAGTAGACTAAACAGCAACTAAATATGACTTATATTCACAAATAAAGGAAGAAGACTCTTGAGATGAGTCTAAATCCTTATTGCTCCTGTAATAATCGTTAAGCCTAAAGGGACATACCTATTTACACATGATGGTATTCTGAATTTCGGTTCAGGGCAAATTGACCAGATCATCGAATATTCTCCATATTATCCTCCCTCAGATTTCGACACTTTCCAGCTGATCACAAGTGATTATGAACAACACATCTTATTGATATAAATAAGTATATAGTTGCGCAATTATAAACTTACATCAGTATACAAATCCTCGCGGATAAATATCTTGTTGCCACCGCCAATAAGGCCTGCAACAATATGTCCATCATGCCTCAACTGATATGGATAACTCATCAATACTTCTAATCCACTGAATCTCTCTGTGTATCTCATTAGCACTAATACAAACTTCAATTCCGAGGCCAGGCCATATCGAACCCAAATGCGAAACGGGTTAGACAGTTCCAATAAACACCAGCAGAATAAACCGCCTTCATGAATGTTTCTGCGACGGTCTTGTTCTCACTCTTAGTATGTTTTGAAGTATAAGTCGATATGATTAACGGCTTCCATCGCAGAAAGATTGGTCTAACAGAAATGTCAGAGAATAAATATTCCTTATCAAGCGCATCGTTAGCTGCATCCTTAACAAATTCTTGATTAAGATTCCCAAGTTCAGCTTTTATCTATGGTACTACGTGAACAGTGACCTTTAAATCGATTAAAGCACTAATAATTTTGTTCAACTTTTCATCATCATTTGCAATATCCTAGTGAGTTTTTCAATAGCACTGCACGCTGCAAGGTAGTCTTTGATTGAATCTGAAAGACCTAGAAGATCTCGCGATAAAATTATAGATAATACTCACTATTTAATTACTTATATTTTGAAAAATAATAAAGAATATATTAGTAGTATGAGTGAAGTTAACTAACACTTTCTTTGTCTTATCAAATCGGCATCTCTATCGATATATATTGAACTGTTACCATCAGCGTGACCTAAAACCGGACTCTTCGTATTGGACTTGATATTGCGTTCTAATTCGTTACTGCCCTAGACTGACCTTTGGATGTATTCGTCTTGCAGCAATAAGTCACCTACATCTTCCGTAGACTGAATCAATTGAATAGAGTGGCTTGGGACATCTGTTTCCTTATCCAAAATCGTATTAAATATGTCACTCATGATTTTGAAGATTTGATACGACCCCTTATCGCCAATTAATATTGCCGCATTACCCGATATGACAGTAACGCTGAGATATTAGCAATAAATTATGGAATAGATTTAAAAATAATCAACAAGCCACGATAGGTGTGATGGCACGGCATAGTTTAATCCTTCGGCAATCTTTCTGGCTAAAGTTCATTTTCCAACTAGATCTGGCAACATCCTAGATCCGTTATAAGAAGTATCGAATTTCTCTAAAAAGATCAGCGATATCAATCAACGAATTAGGGTATCTTGGATTGCTTTTAATTGTGTATGAACGTGTTATAACTACTTCTTTCCAAGTATTGAAAGCAAATTTTCATTGCGCTTTTGTCATTGCAGCGACTGGGGTATGCATTCCAATGGGCGTTACTTTTTCAATGTTGGGATTTTTTAATGCATCTCCAGCGGCAGCCTTTGATGCAGGTTGTGAATTATGGTCACAAGTCCAGGCACATCATTTGCTATATTAGTAACATCTGGATTTAAGGAAACAAGAGTTGGTGTTATTTTGACCAGTGCTGCCGTATTAGATGACATTGTTGGCCTAGTTATGATAAAAATTATTGGAAATTTGGGTAGTGGTACTTTCACTGCTATTAGCGTTATAAGACCAGTTTTTGTTTCGATAGCATTGATTGTCATACTCATGGTAGTCTACAAGTTTGCTGTCTTTCCATTCGCTGTATGGTTTAGGAAGAAGAAAGAAACATTTCCAGCTCAGCTACGAGACTTCTTAACATCATCTACGTATTACTTTGTATTACATATTTTGGTCCTAGTTGGACTTGTCACGGCGAAAACTTATGCTGGTGCTTCTAATTTAACTGCTGCATATGTTTTGGTGCAGCAAATGGATGGCTAGATGAAGAATATCTGGCTTTGATTAATAATTCTAAAGGGAATTCTAATAGTATTGACGAATATCAAGACACTAATTCAAACTTGTCATCAATTTCAATTAATTATCCGAAAAAAAGAGGAAGTATGTACACCTTCAGAATTGGGACAATCACTTACTGCAAAAGAAATGTTTGAGATTTATTATGGCGAAATTTTAAACATAGGGAATGGACCTATTCTACTAAATCTGTTGTAGTATCAAAATGCCTTTTTGGACCTGTGGCTGGTTTGATACTCAGACGTACTCGCCGTTATAAATATTTGCAGATAATTGGGATATCTATTGAAATAATTGGTGCTGGTTTATTGGTAAGCATGACAAATGCTAGCACAAACACTGCAACGCTAGTAATGTCACAAATTCTATCTGGTATGTGTGGAGGTTTAAGTGTTTATAGTTCACGAACTGCAATCCAAGCAGCAGTTTCCCATCAAAACATGACAATGGCAATTACAACACTCGGTTTATTTTCTAGTATTGGAAGTGCAATTGGAAGTGCATTTGCTGCTGTTATTTGGAATAGCAAAACGCCAGCTAATTTAAGGAAATATATGTTATTTGAACAAGTCCAAAATTTTTTTGGAAACTTGAAATTATGACGGAAGTATCCAATAGGTAATTCAGTCAGAAGTGCAGCTAAAAACGCATATGTTGATACTGTTTATTACCTATTTGCACCTGCATTGGGAGTTTTATTTATATCTTTTCTTGTTTGCTTTTTTCAAAAAAATTACTACTTAGGTGATGGTCAAAATGCGATTAAACCAGAAGAATGTAATAATTCTGAAAGCGATGATAAATTAGATTTCGTCGAAAAATTTCAGGCTAGATGGGCTAATAGAACGAAAGGGAAGTCGATAAGCGTATAATAATTTTGACTTCTACATCGCTAAGTTGTATTTAGCTTTACGTTTATTATATTGAAAGATTATTTCGTATTAGAAAATAAACTCATGGAAGAAAACTAATATATCAATATTGTGCATTAAGTTGGCCTGCTGAAGTGGAATTAGATTATACTGTTAATACTATATTTAAAACATACGCTTGTATCCAATTCTTGGTGAATGAAATCATTCCATTGATCTATTCAGTATCTTCCTCAATTTGTATACTTCATTAGTTCCTAAAAATAATTATAATAGAATGTGGCATATACTTGATCAATTGTAACTATAATTACTTGAGTATAATTAATATCATTGCTCAAAATATTAGTGGAATTATGCAGGGGCAAGAATATTTATAATATTTTAGTTTCATGAATATTTGCTAATGCAAATTTATTCCATCATCATGTTCTTATTTTATTCTTCTATATTTCTTTAGCTATAGCTGCTTATAAACCATTATTCATATAATCAGATAATTAATAATATATTAAATCATTCTAAAGTTATTGAATTAAATAATAATATTAAATTTAATATAAATATAAATAATAATTTATATTGGAATACTATATTTAGGATTTGGAATGTTATCAGCAAGCTGGATAACCACTGAGAGTTGAACTCAGATAAATCGCGGTTCTATATATTTAATATCTAAATAGTTACAAGCTTTTTTAAAATTATTTATTTTAATTCTTATTAAACCATTTACTTTATTAATTATATATTTCATATCTTCTTTTTTTGATATTACATATATTGAATATGGTTTATTTTTATCTATTCTAATTTTACCTAAATGAAGATTATTTTGTATTCTAGTCAAGATTCTTACATCTCTATTATGTAATTTAATTTTAATTCGGAATTTTAATATTCTAAATATTAATAGTTAAAATATCTGTTCAAAAATATGGATTAAATAATTTTATCTTTGAAATATTAGAATATAAACATAAGATATGGATGTCGATAACGGATTTTACCTCTTTGAAGAGCCTATTTCTATTCATTTAGGTAACTATATTGTCGGATATTATCGAGTTCCAAGTATCTAAAACTAATTCACATTCAATTATAATATATGGTTGGAGATATATAACTCTAGATTCAGCCTAATACATTGATTAATAAGATTGAAATAATATTTGAAAAATAAATCCGTAAAGCATACAACAATCATGCTTAAGTTAAGCTAATGCCAAATTGATATCTTTAGACTACAGCCTTCAAGTAGCGACATACTAGAGTAAAGACTATGAGTGCTCGAAATTGGCTAATATATTATTTTTCTTTTAATTACATCGTCCATAGCTATGATTAAAAAGATAAAGTTTACTTCACTTCATCCCAGTCTAATTAATCATATATAGTAGAGGCCAGATATTATGAGGTTGCCAAAGGTGGAATTAAAATATGAAAGACCATAACCAACTTCTTATCCTGGAGTGATATTGTAATAGACATAATACCTGTAATCTAAAATATCGAACGGATAAAATCGTCTTGAGGCTCATCCAAAGTAGTAGTATATTAAACTGGAACATATTCGCGATCATTTTTTGCGACAGTGAACGGAATTCTACCAGGTGGATTTTAATGACAATAATACATTCGTAATTGCTGATCTTGTTTCTTGGCCTAAGTATGAGGACATTAAAATAGCAGTCACATTTGTATTTTCAGCAAATGACTCAATGTTAACAGGACCTGGAGTAGTGACGACAACAATAGTGTTGTTATTATAAGCAGTAGTATTTTGAACAAATTTATCTGCATTGTACCACATGGAAGCATTATTTCTATCGCAGTTATTTCAGTCGACAATAACAAATGCTTCGCCAGCAATATATGCAACAAAAACAATTGCAACTTGGACCAGCTTTTCTCTATAAATTACATGATCTAAAGTCCAACTTGAGCTTACAAGATCATACTGGATGTTTCGTTTCTACATCTTTCCCAAAAGCCTCAGATGGCGTAATAAATTTAGAAGGTGAGCCAGCTCCGGAGCCATAGCCTGTAGGTAGTGCCATCTCTACAACTACCAAAATTGCAATTGAAATCATCAGGTGAAATTCTGGCGACTTTGCCCTATATTACAAGTTTTGAATGATTATATAAAAAGATAAAACA